TATCTATATCTATCTATCTATCTATATCTGTCTATCTATCTATCTATATCTATCATCTATCTATCTATATCTATCTATCTATCTATCTATCTATCTATCTATCTATCTATCTATCATCTATATCTGTCTATCTATATCTATCTATATCTGTCTATCTATCTATCTATATCTATCATCTATCTATCTATCTATCTATCTATCTATCTATCTATCTATCTATCTCTATCTATCTATCTATCTATCTATCTATCTATCTATCTATCTATCATCTATATCTATCTATATCTATCTATCTATCTATCTATCTATCTATCTATCTATCTATCTATCTATCTATCAACTCATCAGGCTGATGAATAATAGAAGAGGAACCGCTTAGCGCACTGCCTATGCCCAACACACAGATTACATCCATCGATATTTAAGTTGCAAATGGGTTTTGGGGAGGGGGTGGGAGGGTGGGAGAATGAGCTCATGGGAAGGAAGGGAGGGAGGAGAGAGGAATTGAGAAGGAAGGAAGGAAAAGGAGAAGAATTGGGAAGGAAGGAAGGAAAGGAGGGAGGGAGGAGAGAGGAATTGAGAAGAAAGGAAGGAAAAAGAGAAGAATTGGGAAGGAAGGAAGGAAGCAAAGGAGGGAGGGAGGGAGGAATTGAGAAGGAAGGAAGGAGGACAACGAGAAGAACTGGGAAGGAGGGAAGGAAGGAAGGAAGGAAGGAAGGAAAGGAAAGGAAAGGAAAGGAAAGGAAAGGAAAGGAAAGGAAAGGAGGGAGGAGGGAGGAATTGAGAAGAAAGGAAGGGAAAGGAGAGATTGGGAAGGAAGGAAGGAATAGATAAATACAGATGGAGATGAGTTGGAAGGAAGGAACAGATACAGATGGAGATGGAGACAAGAGGCAGGAAGATAGATACATGCACATGGAGATGGAAGGAAGGATAGAAGGAAAGGAGCAGATACACAGATGAAAAAGGAAAGAAGGAATACATAGATACAAATGGAAAGGGAAGGAAGGAATAGATAGATACAGATGGAGATGAAAGGCATGAAGGTAGATATATGCACATGGAGGTGGAAGGAAGGATGGAAAGAAGGAATAGATAAACAGATGAAAACAGGAAGGAAGGAAGGAAAGTAGGAAGGAAGGAATAGATAAACAGACGGAGAAGGGGTGCTTGCTGGCTGGGACATCCTGGGACTTGAAGTCCACCTATGTTAAAGTTCTTGAGGTTCAGAAACACTGGATGTCGAGAGGGGAAGTAGACCAAGCAGTGATATCCATCCTCCCCACCTGTTTTTTTTCCTACCTTTGTCTTTTCTGATCTTCCTTTTCAGGAAAAACGGTGCCGAATCTCCAGACGGGCCCTTGCACTCTCCGCGTGCCCAGGAACCATGCAGTCTCCCAAAAAAAGCTTGGTTTGCAACTTAAACCACGTTCACTTGCAGCACATCTCCTTGGGGCTCCACCTCTCGAGGCGGCCAGAACTTCAGGAGGACGTCAACACCTTGGGGCCATCCAGGGAACAAGTGGGTTGCCACGAATGCGAGGAACGTGGTGGCCAACTGGTCCCAAGCCTGGTGGACGCCAACTCCAACAACCCATCGTTGCCTTGCCGGTGTTGTGAGGCTCACCCGGTATCATCTGAGGTCAAGCAGGGCCTCCAGACTCTGTCTTCCTTGACCAACCGCCCAACCGTCAATGATGATGAAGAAGAAGAGGTGGAGGAGGAGGAGGAAGAGGAGGAGGAGGAGGAAGCATCTCCTTCAGACCCAACGTCTTCATCCATCAGCAGCTGCTCGGATCTCAGCTTAGACGAATCTCCTGTCTCGGTGTACTGCAAGCCCTTCCCTGCTGAAGAGGCCCGCAGTCCAGAAATCCAACCGAATATTGTCCCCTTGGAGGACACGCAGAATGTTCTGGCCCACCACCAAGAGAGAGGTCCAAACCTTAACGTCCCCAGGGTTGAACATCCTGAGGCCCATATCTGGGATAGTCCAGACAGCTTGTACAGCAGCAGCTCACCGGAATCTCTATCGGACAACTCTTCTCCTTGTCCAGGAAGCCCAGTTGGATCTTCTCAAACTGGGTCCGTCAAGGTTCCTCCTCTTGTTCCACCCCCTGTCCGCCCCTGCAGGGCACCTCCTGCGGTGCCAGTGGTCCCCCCTTGTGGCCCGGAGGTAGATTCCAACTGCAACGCTCTCCCAGCCCATCAGGTCGAGCCCAGCAGCATCTCCTTGGGCCAAGTAGACATCAACTCCAACCGAGCCACGCCAGCAGGGTCTCGTTTCGGAGGCGTGCCTCCTCCGATTCCCCCTCGGACCAAAAAGGGTCTTCAGGGGTTGAGAAGAAGTGAAGGGGGGAAGCCACTTCCAGAGGTGGCCCCTCCTGAACGTGCGGAGCACCAGATCCACCGCGGTGAACCCCAAGGAGAAACATCTAAGAAGATCATCACCTCCTTCCATGAGTTGGCTCAGAAGAGGAAGAAGATGGCCTCCGCGCCGCCCAAGAAGGACCAAAGCGATTGGCTGATTGTCTTTTCTCCGGACACCGAGATGCCTCCATGTCACGAGCTCTCCTGGGAAACTGGCCAGGAGACCACCAAGTTGTCCACTTCCCTGGTGGAAACTTCTCCTCCTACCCTCGGTCTCCAACGAGGGGTTATCACGTTCAAGGACCTCCGTCATCGGAAGCAGAACAGCCAAGGGGGCACCAAGGCGGGCAACCCAAGCCACCACCGTGGGCATCTTGGTCAAGGGGTCCCTGACGGTCACACCGGGCAAGAGACGAGCGACTCGGAGCCCGCGGCCAATGGACACTCGTGGGGCGTGAAGGAAATCCCGCCCCGGGTGAAGAGGCCTCGCCCGGGTCTACAGCCAATTGTAGAAGGAGGTTCTGACGAGGGAGAAGATGTAGGAGTCAAGCCAAAACAGCTTGGGAGACCCTTGGAGACTGAACCCGAGGAAAAGTGGGATCCCAACATCTGTAGGATGGCAGAGACAGGAGACAGGGAGGCCCCTAAAGGTAAGATGATCCTCCTTATCTTGATTGACAACTGGAACAATTAGGAATATAAACAAGGATTCTCTCGCCTCACAATCAGGAGGCTGTGAGCTCAATCCTCGATAGAGGCAAATATTTCTCTCTCTGGGCACAATGAGAATATTATCCGCTGAACAAAACTCCGCATCAGCAACAGGAAGGGCATCCGGCCAGTAAAACACTCAGCTCCATTCAGTTGCCTCGACTCCACCCCGCAAGGGATTATGGGGGTCATTAAAAGGAGACAATGATAAGCCAGGATGCTGAGATCAACAGACAGAGCTCTAGGCAGGTAGTTCTCGACTTACACGCCACAGTCGAGCTCAAAATTTCCGTTGCAAAGCGAGACCGTCACTAGGGGAGTTTTGCTCCCTTTTACGACCTTCCTTGCCACTTCTGTTCGAGGGGATCCCTGCAGTTCTTAAGTCAGTCACACGGTGCTTAAGGGAATCGGGCTTTCCTTGCAACGGTCACCAGTGTGAAACATAGCCCCACGTCGCTTTTTTTCCAATGCTGTTGTAACTTTGGTCATTAAGTGAACCGTCGCAAATCTCCCTATCAACAGGAGATTTGAACGCCCATCCCAAAGGCATCCTCGCATCAAAGGAGACTTAGGATACAAGAAGAGGACCAAAAATTTTTTTTTCCTTTTCCCACATCTGTACACAGCCATTTAACGATCTGCGATAAGCATTAAGTCCCTAAGCGCTTTATCCTATTTAATCTCACCATATTTTATCTATGCTAATCAATAATCAGGCAATAAT